TATTTTTATGTGTACCGTCAAATCAGATCTGACTGGTACAGGAGGAGATTGCCCCCTCCTTCTCCAGCAGAGCATCTGGTGGATTTGAACCATTACATCTGGGATTGCAGTGCAGCGTCTTGCCACTAGGCCACCAGAGCTCCCTAACAACAGCCTCTTAATCTAGGCATAAGATTGACATAAACGCAGTTAAGTGTTTTGGGGTTCTCATTCTTCTCAGTGTTACCCAGAATTTGTTGTGATCCGCACTATCAAATTCCTTTGTATAGTCATTAAAGCATAAGTAAACATTCTCCTGATATTTTCTGCTTTTAACCAGGATCCATCTGACATCAGCGATATTCCTGGTGCCACAGTCACTTCTAAACCCAGCCTTAATTTATGGCCGTTCTCGGTCAATGTGCTGTTCTAGCTATTTTTTTATGATCTTCAGCAATATTTTGTTTGCATGTAATAGTAATGGTGCTGTTTGATCATTTCCACATTCTGTTGGATCACCTTTCTTGGGAATGGGAACAGTTAGGAATCTCTTCCAGTCAACTGGCCAGGCAGGTCTCCGCCAAGTTTCCTGGCACAGACTGGTGAGCCTGTCCAGTCCTGCATCTTTTATTTGAAGCATGGCAGTTGTTTCATCTATCTATGTGGCCTTATTTTTTGCCAGTGTGTTCAGTGCACCTTGAATTCTTTTATCACCATTGGTGTTTGATTATACATTGGAATATTTCAATGTTGGCCAATTCTTTTTGTTACCGTGCCTCTGTGTATTTCCTCAATCTTCTTTTAATACTTTATGAATCATTCATGACTTCTCCCATAGCATCTCACAGTATTGCAACTGGAGGCTTGAATTTGTAGAAGTTGTTATTAGGTGCTATTAAGTCATGGTGGACCGTGTGTGTGCGCGCGAGAGAGAGCGCGCATGCAGGCATTAGACTGGAACCATGTCCTTTTTTGTGCCGTCCTCATGTTCTCAAACTTACACCCATACTTGCAGTCACTGTGTCAAATTTACCTCCTTGAGATTCTTCCTTCTTTCCTTCTCTTAAGCCTCTACTTTTCCACGCATCGTGTCTTTTGTCAAAGACTGATAACTTCCTGATAACATGCCTAGGGTGTGTGGATGCCTTTATGGAGTACCTTGGTGAACTTGCACCAAAACAGATTTGTTTGTTGTTTTAGTAGTCCATGAGAGATTCACTGTTCTTCTTTAGCACTTAGTGTTTAAAAATTTTAGAGTGCATGTTAATATCTAAGGTAAATATATTCATGGTTTTATGTTCCTTCATTGATGCTTCCTTTTTGCAAACCACTGTGGAAGATTACAGAATTTTGATAAAATTTATTTATTTATATGTAATATAATTTCTCAGTATTTTGAGATGTGATGTATAAAACATACACTTAATTAATAGTCCAGAAAAAGAATACCGTGGAATTTTTTCTCTCCTTTTCTATGTAAAATATCATAGTAGTTGTGAAGAGGGGATAAAGATTTATTTTGAGCAGTGATACTCAAGCAAAATATTTAAAATACTTAAAATTACCACTTACAAAGTACTTGAAGAAAAGACAAATACCACATGTATATTCTTTATTAGTGGGCTGTTACATACAGTTGAATTGGAACCAACTTAAAACTGACCCTCCAGTGGGTTTTCAGAGGCAATAAGTCACGTAGGAGGAGATTGCTCATCTTTCTCCTGTAGATTTGAATCATATGCCTTTGAATTTGCATGGCAACTCCTTACTAGTCATCCACCAATGTTACAGGCTAGCTGGTTTAAATAGATGGTTTCCATCTCTCTTTTACAAGTGGGCCTTGGGGTGAAGTAAATAGTGATGGAGCTGAAAGGTCAGCTTAGATCTGTATGGTTCCAAAGCTCATTTTGTTATTTTTTACCAGTGGACGTCATCCTCCTTTCTGCCTTCACATAATTAATTCATACATACAGCATGTCCCTTTGGTTAACAACCAGCTCTCATGTTATTGAATGCCAGATTGGAAGGATGATGTGATTCAGTGACTTACTCCCTGCCACCATCTTCCTAAATTCTCAGATTAGTTCTTCCTTTGTCCCAGCATCTTTTCCCCAGAAAGTTACATATTTGTCCCTCCTTGATCAGTTTGTTTTCCCTGCCAGTGATACAGAGGAAAAGGAAATGTAATAGTTTTTTGTTATTAAATTTTCTTAGGCTATTACCTTCCAAATGATGATGGAGAATTTTATCAGTTCTGCTATGTTACCCATAAGGGTGAAATTCGTGGAGCAAGTACACCTTTCCAGTTTCGAGCTTCTTCTCCAGTTGAAGAATTGCTAACTATGGAAGATGAAGGAAATTCCGACATGTTGGTGGTGACCACAAAAGCTGGACTTCTTGAGGTTGGTGTCAGTGGTTCATTGACTGTCTTGAAAACAAGCCTCATGTTGGTTAGAATTTCAAAAATTTTCAGGTTGCAGGAATTTTCTTTTAAAATCAAATGGCTTTTAGTTAAGATTGTAAAGTTAGGGTGTCTTCTTGGAAAAGATTTCCGAATCTTTCAGTAACAATTACATTATTTTTTTTTTATTTTATTAAATTTTATTAGTTTTAATGAACATTTACAGGGATTTTGGGTTTTCGTTCCTTCATTACTGCACCATTCTCTCTACCCTCCTCCCCAGTTTGTTCTTCTTCCCCGCCATCCGAATGTCTGTTCTAATTGTCCAATTGCCACAGTGCTTGTCAAAGTCAGTTCTGATTAATCTCCTTTGTCGGTGTGTCCTTTGCCATTCCCTATCACTCCTCCGTGAGAGAGACTTCACCCTGATTCATAAGGAAAAGGGGATGGCATATTCTCTTAGCTACTTCCTGCTGAAAAGGGACGCTGTGGGTTTCAGGGTGAAGATCTTCTCTCACTACTCTAAAGGGCCCCTTTGGTAGTAGGAAACACATAGACTATTATGGAGATTGATTTTGGAATTTAGATGCACTCTTATTGATTGTGCTTGGCCGTACATGTTCAAATCCTTGAAGATGTATCATGGGGGTGTTGCAACCTAGAAGACACAAATTTGACTAACAAGTTATAAGTACATGAGTCAAAAATTATGGAAAAGTAAAAGAAAAGATTCTTTCATTGTTTTACAAACCCTACCCCAGGTCCCCTCCACCATGTAGCCCTCGCTCTAGACTCCTGTGATGACAGAAATACCTAGTCACATATCTCTTTTACACAGTTTTCTCCCTCCTCTGTTTCAGTGCAGTATACATTATTGAACCCATCTTACTCAGTCTCTCCCCAACCCCGAGGACAGTCCCATTCTACAACAGTGGCATCATGTAATATTTGTCCTTTTGTGACTGGGATATTTCACTCAGCATAATGTTCTCCAGAGTCAACCATTTTGAATAATATTGCATGAGTTCCTTGTTTTTTAATGCAGCATAGTATTCCATTGTGTGAATATACCACAGCTTCTCTAGCCATTCGTTTGTTAATGGACACTTAGGTTGTTTCCAACTCCTTGCTATTGTGAACAAAGCTGCAATAAACATGGGAGTGCATATATCTGTTTGGATGTCAGCTATGGTCTCTTCAGGGTATATTCCCAGCAGTGGAATTGCTGGGTCAAATGGTATCTCTGTTTTGCAACTTTTTGAGAAAGCGCCATACTGCTTTCCACAGGGTTTGCACCATTTTACACTCCCACCAACAGTGAATCAGGGTTCCAGTTTCTCCACAACCTCGCCAGCATTTGTTGCTTGCTGTTCTGTTAAATTTTGCTATTTTGACTGGGGTGAGATGATATCTCATAGTTGTTTTAATTTGCATCTCTCTTAGGGCTAGGGATTTTGAGCATTTCTTCATGTGTTTGTTAGCCATCTGAATGTCCTCTTAGGTGAAGTGCCTGTTCATATTCTGTGCCCATTTTTCTATTGGATTATTTACCTTTATCTTGTTGTGGTGCTCAAGTATTTCATAAATTCTGGATATAAGTCCCTTATCTGATATGTTATTACCGAATACTTTTCCCAGTCAGTGGCTTCCCTTTTTACCCTATTGGAGAAGTTTTTGGATGTGCATAGGGATTTGAGTCTTAGAAGATCCCATTCATCTATGTTACTTTTCTCCTGGTTGTAGGTAACAATTACATTATTGACTCTACTGTGGCAGGAACTCTCTCAAGAGCCTATAAATATTTTGTGCATAGTAGGTATACAGTAAATAACTATTGAAAGAATTTAAGCCCAAAACTTTGCTCATTTTGTTCTTCTTTGGGTTCTTAATATGTTGTTTGTGGACTAGGACAGGGAATGAAGTGTAGTTAGGTATGAAGCTCCATTAGGAAAGTGACCTAAAGTAATAAGTAAAGGAAATGTAATTGAATGTGAACATCACCAATCAATCCATGAACATGTTCATCTACAGACATAGTGTCTTAGATGGACCATTTTGTTTAAAAAACATTTTTTAAAAAAATTTGTGCGTGTGCGTGCGTGCGCATCATCATATCAGCTCTGACTGTCCCTCCTTCTCCAGCAGAGCATCTGGTGGATTCGAACCACACACCCGCAAAGATTGCAGTGCAGCTTGTTGCCACTAGGCCACCAGAGCTCACTTAGATTGACCATTTTTTAAAAATATTCTTTTCTTTGTCCAGTCAAATGAATAAATTTATACTAACTATAATTGCAGAAAGAAAAAAGGAGAAGCTCTTTGCTATCTTCCCCTCGAAGTACTCTGGAGTCATGACATTGGCTCAAGTATAAATTCGTTGTAGATGGTCTAGTAATAATGCCTTGAATCTGAATTTTCAGTGCTCACTGAGGGAGAAGGTAAATCAGTAGTTTGTCTCATTTCAAGAAGCATTTCCCAGTATCTCTACCCTGTAACAAAAATATAGTGTTGTTGTATTTTGATTGTTGTGTTGTTGTTGATTGCCGTTGAGTTACGACCCTATGAACAAAAGGCCTGAAGCCTTTCTATAACTATCGTCATTTATCAAAGTTCATAGAGTTTCCAGAGGCTTGAATTTAAAGCATACTAATTAGAGAGCTCTAGTGGCCTAGTGGCAAGAAGTTGTGCTGAGTCCCAAAGGCATGCAGTTTGAATCGAACAGCTGCTTCATTGGAGAATGGACAAGTCTCCTCCTGTGTGATTGACTGCCTCTGAAAACCCACTGGAGGGTCAGCTCTGTGTTGGTCTGACTCTCTAGTACACAACAACAAACAACATTCTTTAATCACATAGAGTGTCTTCTGTCATAATTATAAGAAAAAAGCTTCTTGTAATTGGTTCAGTTAAAGATTTATGTTATTTTACATTTCTGTTCATATATGGTAAGTTATTATTTTCCTTTATAGTCAGATGCCTTTTTAAAAACATTAATATATCTTTAATTAACCTTTAAGACATCAGAATAGAGTGGGAAAAGAGGACATACAGATAAAATAGTAAAACTAAAGATGTTAGAAGGAACTAGTAATTTTTATTGTGAATTCCTCTGTATCATCCCGTCCCCTTTCCAGAAATTCCTCCCTTATCATAAAGAAATGTAACTTTTATGGGGTGACTAAAATATTTTGTGGTGACAACCGCCTGATGATCAAGGTTTTTAGACTAGTTTTTTAACATTAGCCAAAGATGCTGAAACAAGCGCAGCTCTTAAAAAGAATGCAATGAGTGTTTATATTGCAACTTTCTGAATACTCAATAGACCACCCTGAATTTAAGGCCTCCCACAGAAAAATATTTTGGCTTCCATCTCTTCACGTAAATTGGGATGCAGCACAAATCTCTTACGAGTTCTTTTATCCTAAAAAGGGACTTTACAAAGAAATTTTCAATGCCTATCTCTAAGGGAAATATTTTTGAGATTTTTTTTTTTTATTCTCTGAACAAGTTTTTTATGTGTGTAGTCATAAAAATCTTTGGAATGATTTTATATCAACACAAAATTTGTATTAAATGTGAAATCATTTGGGGCACTATTGACATTATATGACTTATAAGACATTGCCATCAAGAGCAATGTGTGAATTAAGTTGAATCTTGGGTTATTAAAAAAGTAAAAGAAATTTTGGGAAAACTCAGACATTTGACTGTGGGTTGTCTATAAAGGTATTATGGACTACTGTTAATTTTTTTAGCTGTGACAGTACTTGAATAGGAGACTTATTTTTTTCCTTCAGTACTCCAGGTGGGATGTTGTTGTTAAGTGCCATCGAGTGGCAGGCAACTCATAGCGACCCTATGAAGGAGAGTCCTCAATGCTTGGGTGTCTTTCATCCTCTCTCCAGGTTCATAGGGTTTCTGGAGGCAAGCTATTACGGAAGTGGATGCC